TACGAGTAATGTAGCATTTATTTCATACTTCTTTTTTATTAATGAATTAGCAAAGTTACACGAGGAATAAAAAAATAAAATTTAAGGAATATTTACCGTTTTTCATTTTACCACCATGTGTTCACTCTATTCCGAACTAAATGCTGCAATTAAAATATAACTGATGTGTGTGCAACCTAAACTTTGGCCTTATTTATGGAAAACACAGCCTTGTGGTCTAGTGATGAGAGTTCCTGGCTACAGATTCAGAGTTCCCGGGTTTGATTCCCGGCACTACCACATTTCCTTACAAGTAGTGGGTCTGGAACGGGGTCCATGCAGCCTCGTGAGGAGAACTGAGAAGTTATTTCAAAGAAGTAGCTGCTTCGGTCTAGAACACCTAGATTAACGGCCGTGGGTATCCGTTGCACTGACCACGCGACACCCTCTATCCTCAGATGTTAGCACTAACTTCGCCAATAAACGACGGTCGCTCGGTCGGTATAGTTTGCTTGCGGACTACAGACCACGAACTTTGTGTTTTAATGAGGGAAAAATAACTGGTTGGATTTTGACAACAAATTACTGAGTAGATACGTTTTTGGCTTAAGGGGGGTGGGGGATGAGAGAAGAATGTCAGGGATCTTATAACCAATAGCTTCTTAATTTGTACTTTTCAGCGAATATTACTATGATAATCATATCGTCGCGAAAGAGGCGAAAGGTACACGCATGTAGTATATGATAAATTAAAGAAATTTAATCGAAGACCTGAATAAAAGAGATAATTTAGAGGATAGAGAAAGAATGGAGAAGGAAGTATCAGAATTAATCCCAGAAAAATGACACAATTTTTACCAGCTCAGACACTACCAAATGTCCAAGATATCTGCTGAATGGAGACAGTTTCCAGTTCATTGGTCATTTCGATCATGTATATTTATTTAACTCTTGGAGGTTATTGAGACAGGGGAGTAACAACTGAACTAAAATGGCAGGATTTTATGATCTCATGTGTTCAATATTAAAGATAATGTTTTCGGTAACACAAGAGCAACGTAACTTGAACTGGATGTTATGGACAAATGGCGATTTTCTAAATTTTTTGACGTATATACTCATTTTTTTAATGCTAGTGGGTTGGGACTAAGTCCCTTGTACTGCGGCCACTTCTGGCTTATTGTACCAGCCCCAGATGATAGGTGAGGGTGATTGTGGAGCAATTGGTGGAATGAAGATTGGCAGGGGAAACCGAAGTACTAGGAGAAAACCTGCCCCAGCCCCACTTTGTTCACCACAAATCCCCCTTGACCAGACCCGGGATCGAACCCGGGCCGTCGCGGTGGGAAGCCAGCGACTAACCGCTTGATCTATGGCGCGGCCTATATACCCAATACTAGGCGTCGACTCCTTAAATACATTCCCGCGGGAGCCAACGCGCGCAACAACAGAACGTCTAATGTTAGGCAGAGGATCGGTAAACACATTTAAAACAATTCGGAACAATAGAACACGGTGCTTTCCGTGGAGTCCGCCGCGAGGCTACATAACGAGGAGTTCCAAGGGAGCAATGAGTTATCTAGTGTGGAGGCGGGGCCGAATGCCTCCACCGTGACCCTGCGAGTCTTAGGAGATGACGAAAATTGAAGTCTCGAATTTGAGAGAGTAAATTGTGTCCGCGAGTTCCACGAGACTCAGACCCCTGAATCACTGTGCTGGCGAGGACCATCAGCAATTGTAAACGACAGACCTGTCGTCTCGTTAGAGATTGTGCCTCACTTCAACAAACTCGCAACTGTCTGACAGTAATAAAAATTTGGTCTTAAGCCTCAGATGGATGCTTTATTCCAAGAGAGACTGGTCGACTGATCGTCGGTCGTAACATAAGACTCAGACTGGGACTCAGCAGTGAGCTTTTGCCGAGAATTGGGTAGAGTTCTGGAGATGGTATCGAAGTTGGTTAAGACGAAATGGCAAGCAGTGAAACGGTTGAAAATCCTTTGCCAGGATACGACTACTGAAGACTGAGAATTCTAGTGCATGCATAAGGGTGAATTGTGAAGTGTGTATATCAACAATTACGCTGTATTACCTGTATTCTCAAGTTGCTTGAATAAAGTGTCAATAAATCCAATCAACCAATCCGAAACCCGTCTTATAGGGCACGCACCACCGCTACAGGTGACAATATGATGAGACCTAGAAATCTGAAATCAGAAAACAAGGCAGATAGTTGAACGGTATTATTATTTGGGATAAAATATTGTGTAGTTCGTTTTAAGAACCTCAAATCCTACAAGTTAAATAATTATTAAATAAAATAATTGCTCAGTTTCTGTTAGATAGCTAACCGTCTAGTGACAAAATTGTTAGGTTATTTCATCAGATAGTGCATTCGTTAGCCAGAAAATTTGTAACTGATAACATATTTCCTTCTGGCCTCATGAATTTTTAATTTAATTCATGAATATTCTATTTAAGGAACTGCAATTTTGTTAGAAAGTATTTTTCTGGGAGTCATCTTTACACGTTTCTTCAACAACTTATGTTCATGAAATTACTGAAGGTATAGAACACACCAGGTACTTACAAACGAAATGCTCAAGTGGATCCTTTGTCACCACGGCATGACACGTCCTCAGGCTGCGGACGAAGGAGACGGCCTCTAGATATGAAGGGTAGCTGTAGCCATTTTGAATAAGCAGTCACGAACAGTAGAAAGCGGTTGTCCTTCAGTATGTGGATTGGGCGTGGGGTTAAAAACTCCCCACAGTAAAAATGATTTTCTTAGGAGATTTTATACAAGACCTCGGACGTAGAAGTGTTCTTTGGATAAACGACCTAAGCCAAGGAATATTGTACAAACCAGGAGCTCAAAAGCATATCTTAAATGAATGCCTCTGAATTACCAACTTTAGTTCATTCAGCACTTTAAAGGAGCGGCCTCCGTAGTCTAGAGGTAACGTTCTCACCTCATGACTCTTAGTACGCGGGTTCAAATACCCGGCGGAAGTCGTCGAATTTTTAAGGGCGGAAAAATTCAGGGAACAAGTCCTCCGGGAGGGACTTTAAGCCGTCTGTCCCGTGTCGTAGCTTTACGGCACGTAAAAGAACCTCATATCTCCAAAGGAGGTCACTGAGCCAAATTACGGACGTTTTCCGCCAAACAGCAGTCTCTAATACCTCTGGTAGATGGGGGAAGCATTACAGATACCTCTCAGCTAGTAGAGCCGGTCTCGCTGCCTAGGCGGGACTGATGGAAAGCACCAGTACCGGTAGGACATAGAGACTGGTAGAAATCATAGAGGGAAGCACAATGGATCAATACAGGTCTCAGTGCATGGGGAAACCCACCCTCTCCAATAACTAACTAACTAACTAAGTAACTAACTAACCCTTTAAAGGCCAATAATATTATGTTCTGTCTGCTTAGCATAGAAAGCTCTGTACTCTGCACAAAGAATTTATTTATGTCCTTCATACTTGTACCATTCTCTAGGTAACTAAAGGATTTTTACCTCACCACAATCAACCGGCTGATCATCCTAGTAGAATGTAATGTGTTACCTGTGAGGTACGAACTGAGATTTTATATATAGCAGCTGTATCTTCTTTCCCTCTAAAGCTGCAAAAGCTTTTAAGATTGTTTACTTTTCAATTTCAGAGTGTATTTTACATCTATAAGCGTCTTAGATAGTAAACTTACGCATAAAATTATAACTAATCAAGGTCCTTAAAATTATTACATTATCTCCTTGATGGAAATTATGTTAAGGAGTTAATCAAATAGTTCTAAGACCAGAAAAAAGAAATACACGTAACTTTAGTGTGGAAACCTCCTAGTCAAACGTTATATGTGTGAGTGAGACGTAGACGAGTTGTCATGGATCAGCCAGAATGAAGTATATTTCGGTAATGAGGAATGAACGAAACCAACGTAGGACCTGACAAAGTAACCAACGTACTTCCGGAGAGTGCTCAACCTTGTTCGTATATCAGACTATTGGTTATCTAGGGCATGGCATCTAAAGTTATATAATAAACAGAGAAGAAGAAATATATGTAAAAGAATATAAATTAAGCAATATATACACAAACTTGTTAGAATATCAGTAGACAATATTATTATTATTATTTTTATATTAACTGGAAATTTGTTTTATTCGGTGGCAGTGGTACTACGAGTACAATAAGACAACACACAAATAACAAACCAAACTCAAAACACAGCATACAGAACTACACAAACAATAAAGAACATACTACACACAATGAATACAATGCAAATACAATTACAGCCACAACAAATACAATTACAACTACAATTATATAAATTGATATTAATAAAAATAAGCATTCTGTACACTAAACAGTATCAGTAATGAAATACTTGATGTCGATAACTGATGCACTCACATTTCACCATGAACTTCCCTTCACTACAATTTCACATCTTTCACATCCTTACCACAATTTACTTTCCTTCACCTCAGCTCACCTCAGCTCAACACCTCACCTCACCTCAACTCCACTTCACTTCACTATACTACACTTTATATGCATTGACGTGAACATTTAATAAGTACTTGATATTTTAATCGTTTCCTTCCGGTTACATTAAAACACAGTTCATCCGAGGTCTATTAATTTAGGAATCGTATAATGGATACTAATGAAAATTAATAATTTTAGCATATTATATTTAAAGAATTAAATTTTAGAACATGGCTTTCTTTTAACATACCGTCCTTGTTAACATTTATGATACAGCATAGTAGCTGCTCAGGTAAAGACTAAACTTGTAAAATTACTTGGAACATGATATTCATTTTTCATGTCATTTTCGTGAAGTTTGAATTTGAAAATGTAACTGATAACTCTTCTGGAATTTAAAACTTGTACTTCCTGTTGAATATTTCAGCAGCTTAGAAATTGATCCTTATTGCCGAATACACAATTCTCGCCTGTACTTGTCTTCACACCGTACAGTAGAAAATTGCTTCTCATGTGCTTCAGACGTGGAGTTTTGCAGTCATATCTGGATTTGTTTCATTTTACGTATCAACGTTAATTTCTAGTTTCTAACAACATGGCAGAGAAATTCGCCTTAGCAGCTGGACAGGAAACACACAGATGTTTCAGGCTCTACTTGACTGTATTCCGTGTATCCGGCATACCGCTCCTGTTCAACAAAGTCCCCAAATTATTCAACCTGTACTCTACAGTAGCAGGACTCTGCTTCTGTGTCACCTTCGTGTCTATGGTTGCTGATATTTTCATGAAAACAGAAGGCATAGAACGTACCATGGAAACTGTTCGAACGGCATTCCCGATGGCACTGGCGCTATCGGTACACATTTTCTTGAGGTAGAATTGAAATTGTCATAATAAATATGAATATTTAATTATTCATTTTTCTTAATTCTGAGGTTTGTAGGTCCCATTATAGAGATTTCAGGTTTTGTCAGTCTTGGTGATTTCATATTTGTACAGATATATATTATCTTGAACTGTTTTTTTTAATGTGGATTATTGATTTGTCCGAAAGAATATTCGTCTTCCTTTCTCAGGACCAGAAAGTTAAGCTCTTATTATTTTGTATCGGGTCACATTAATCTTTAACGTAAATGTTAGACATAAATTTATGTAATAATTTATGTTACTGTAGAAGATTTAATAAGGATATGACTGCTTCCTTCCACAGTTTTTACAATATTCAGTAATCCTCCTCTCGCTCAGCGTTATATATTCTGACCTAATGAGATGGTCTTTAGATAAACCGTAAATAAATACAGTTTAGAGAATTATTTGTATTTATCGTTTGTGGTCTTTACCGGGGAAGTAACAAGTGGTCTGATATATTTCGTGATGCTACTGATTACATGCATCAGTTTCTTAGAAAACTACGGTACATTTATTCGACAGGTACTTATGTGAACATTTTATCAAATGAGACAAGAAATTTAAAACAGTGAGGAACTTTACTCGGATTAAGAACATATAGGCTGATGCAAGCTATAATTTTGAAACCATGGCCAACTTTATACCTTTTCGATGATGAAGTTCAATTTGAGCTGCATATAATAGACAGAAAGATGGACGAAATGTGTGTTCTACACAGTGTAGAACACACCGAACGTAGTTAAGACCAGACAAGAAACTTATACGCCATATTGTATGATTATATAACGATAAATAAAGTGAAAATTGCATGCCTAATATACCACACATTAACAACTAGTACATTGTAGAAACTTGTCTCTGGGATCCACAACCAGGCTTACTATGTAGAAAGCTTCTAAAACAAAGACCTATAAACGACATACATACCCAATTTATACTGTAATATTGGAATCTTAGTATTTAAGTTGTCATACACATTCTTAACCTACCAGAAAAATTAATATATTTTTAAACATTTTTTTTTATTTTTAAAATACGTTAATATTTTTAATATTCCATAATATATTTAAGACATTATAAATCTTGATATATGGTATACTCTTTATATTTATCTTTTATTTTATTTTGTATCTTCTACTTTAATTGTAAACACCAACTTTAGGCAAACATTTTATGTTAGAATACGACACATTGCACTGGGATCCGTATCGCTTAGTTCAATAACTATACACATTGCTTCCTACATGTAGCTGCCTGATGATAGTCTTATATGACCGAAACATGTAGCACGAATAAAGATAGAATTCTAAAACATTAAAACTGGGTATGTTTGTTGTGCTGATGGTTAACCTAATTCCTATATATAACAGATCCGCCCAACAACGTTTGGTGTAGAGTTCACCCCATACAAAATTCCACGGAACCTCGTCCAATAATTTTGTTAGAAGGACGGACGGAATTCAGATTTAAGTTCTTCTAATACCTTTCTTACAAGGTTCATATAGTAGGCAAAGTCAAGCATATAACCTAATGTTTCGACCAGCCTATACACCGCATGTTACAAGGTATGAACCTTGTATTTCAGGTTCCGATGTGAAGAAGTAGGCCGAGTAATATCTTTCACGGAGTCCTTCACGTGGGAAGAACTGCCAACTAAAGATCCTGAAACAGGATCTTTAACAATGGCTGGATGGATTCCGAGAGTTCAATGGTTCGGGAAAACTTTTATGCAGTTTGCAATGATATTGCATTGCATTATAACCGCAATTCGAATTGCAGTGCTAGACAATCGTCCACTTTCTTACAACGCTTGGTATCCTTTCGACACGGCAGTCAGTCCAACGTACGAACTGGTGAACCTCACGCAGGTATGTTCAATTTGAACTCACATTTCATTAGAGACTTGGAAAGTTTAGTTCCATACTACAGTATACAAATTGATTAACAGCGTCCTTTGAAGGATATTGTAACATGACGCCTTAAAGTCGGAATAGTTCAGTCCTAGACAGCCGCTCGGTAAATACAATCCTGCGGAAGTGAAGACGCTACAATAGAAGAGCTGTGATTTCCGTGGTCAGAGCCGCACTCATCGCTACCCAACGTTGCTGTAAACACATCTCTGCAGCACTGAATCAACACGCAACAATATAGGAAGCAGTGTTTTCTTGGGAGCCGCCCCGAGGCTTTATAACGAGGATCTCACGCAGCTAGAGTTATCTTCTTCACCCAGCTTATAAGCAACCGACGACTTTCAAGTCTTCAAACAAAAATAAGTCCGTATATTCTGTACTATTAACGCAAGAGTTCTGTTGGAAAAAATCCCTGGTCGTGGTCCTGAAGGGGCGTGACGCCAAGACGAACTGATTGGCGGTAAACCGCTAGCCGTAAAGTAACTTTGACTTTGACTAGAATGAGAATTGAGTTGAGTTCCGGAGTTGGCAGTTAACAGAATAATTGCAAGAAAGGAATTAAGCTGTGCAAACAAGACATATATGATTTTCGGTGAGAGTGAGATTTGTGAATTCGTTGCCAGGATATGACTAGTGAAGATCGAGGACATTAATGGGTATAACGGTGAACTGTAAAATGTGGAAATAGCGATAGCGCTGTAATTGCATGTAGTTCTGAGTGAGTCTATAAAGTGTAAATAAATCCAATAATCCAACCAAAAATCCGTCTTATAAGTCACGCGTGCACATTTCTGACACTTGACAATATTAATGTTATTTAAAATATGTTTAATGGTATGTCAATTTGTGGAAGTGTTCCACGTCCAGAATCAAGAAAATCTGTGAAAGAATTTATGGGTACAAGGAAAGTTTCATTTGTGGCTTTATGAAAGCCGGACTTAATGTGTCTGAAAATCAGAATAGCCCAAGGTTATTTGATGCAAGCCTTTTGTGCAGGAATTCATGTGTATCTTCGAAAATTCTGTGGGATAAACGAAGAAGTCCATTTTTTGCATTCCATAAACTAAGCTTCGTTATAAAGAGAGTCGTCTTCTGGGTTTAGGCACCGTGTATTCTTCGTGTTGGCCGATGTTTCGGAGGAACGTCGGCCAACACGAAGAATACACNTAGAGAAATATAAGCGCAGGTTTCGCGCATTGGATTTTAACAATCATTGCGATACGGTGTATGGGATACACGGAGAAAAACATTTTATAGCCTTATGCAAACCACAGAAGTAATAGTCCTATTAGAGTATAAGTATTTATCGAAAGTTTCTTTTTGTGATTTTTCATGATCCATAACTACAGGTATTTCTTATTGCACAAACAGATCTTGTAGTGGACAATTGCAGTGCGCTCATATTTTGCATTATCAAAAGTGCAACATCATTTAGTTGAATGACGGATAACACATCTTGAGATAGGATCAAATTCTTTATTTCAGAAATCTTTCTTATGCCTATATATCTGTAGGATCCTAGGGTTTGTCACAACCAGCAGAATATATTGTAACGGATTTGACGGAAGCGTTACCAGGCAACAGCTCTGTAAACACGGCCCAGCAGCAAACAATAGAGAAATCTGTGTTTTCCATGTCCGCGGTGACGTCACAACAGTGGATAGCGATCTCGTAATATGTGCTTACTGTAGGTCCGTGCCCGTTCCGCAGCTATACACGTATAAGGAGAGCGGTGAGCTGTATGTTCAGAGATAATTGGAACTAGGAGAAAAGTAGAATTAAAAGTAGACCTGTGAAGTGTTAACGTGTAATTAGATTTTATTTATGTGTAATATTTGGAGAGTGTGATTCAGTGAGACTGATATAGTTCCCGTGTTATAAACTCGTGAAGACAATGCAGACAGACTGAAGAGATAAGTGTGTAGTGATTGGACATTATGTAAAGCAGTAGTAGTGTAATAATTGTATTTACGACTTGTAGATTATTAATAAATTCAATTACTAATCCGAACCTCCTCTTTAGTCACTGTGACACTTGACATTATTACTAAAATTTCAGTCTGTATTGGTACATCCATTGATTTCTTTCCTCTTGCCTTATCAATTCCAAAGGGTTCTGACGATATTCGTAACACCCAGAATTACGGCGCTTTTGGACTTTGTTCAGCGTCCGGTGTTTCAAAGCACGGAACTTTTCTGAAACCGATCTATTTCCGTCCTTAGGTTGAAGGGTGGGAGGTAACCAATCTGTAGGGTCTGTTGGGTAGTGTTAACCTCAGTCACTGGTCTATTTCTTTATAACGGACCCAGAAGATTACATGCCTCACACCCTCACCTGAGGACAGAAATAAATACAAGTTCCGAAACGTTACTTTAGAATATCGAACAATGGATAGTGTCCAAAACACATTATTAACCAGACTTTTATTATGTTTTCCATAAAACACACTTCAGTGTAAACTGTTATTTATTTTCTTTCAAATTATTTATTTGTGATTTAAGTGAAGGGACTATGGTGGCTACTTAAATTTATTCTTCATAGCCTGATTAAAAAGAGTCTTAAGCCAGTAGTAGTAGTTGCATAACATTCTGTGTCTAACTTTTTTAATCCGAGTTGAGATAACTGGAAGATATAGCAAATTACAGGCAGAAGCTGAAAATTGAAAAATAAAGACAATAGGTGAGGAATAAAGTAGAATGGTTGCCGTTCGTAGAGGAAACGAATTTTCTAGAGAATCGTGTAGCCAAGGCATAAGGAAGTAAAAATATATATGCAACTAAGTTTGCAATTGTTGACAAACATGAAGATATTCATTACGGAATCTATTTATCGTGTTTATGGTCTGTCATCGTATCTCGTTTCCCACTTGCAGTTTCAATTAGTTGATGAGTCACCGATTTCTAATGTATAAAAACCGACGCATTTCGCACGATAACCATGTTAGAAAATGTAGAGAACAGCGAGAGGTCCCAGTGATGTTATTTACATTGGCCTACTACGGCAATCCATCCAAGAACTGGTTACCGTCAACACAAAAAATACAAGATATTAATTATTAGCCTTATATAGAAGTAATAAGTAAACAAAGAAGCAAAACATAAAGTTGGAGAATTAGTTATATAAAACCGGAATAATTAGAAGCTCATGAACTTTTTAATTTGTAATAAAATTCCTCATTTAAAATTTTAGAAAATTTTGGTGAAGTGCAAAGACAACTCTCTTTCCACAGATTTATATTTTTACATAGTAGAAATAAATGCGGCCGGTCACGGTAGCTGAGCGGTCTAAGGCATGCACTGTCTTCGCTCGCTCGGAAGCCGGGATCGTGGGTTCGAATCCCATTCAAGGCATGGATGTTTGTGTGCGTTTTTATGTGTTTGTCTACAGGTAGAGGCCTTGCGACGAGCTGATCACTCGCCCAAGGAGTCCTACCGTATGCATAAGATCTAGAGAAACCGAAGTGAACGGAGAAGTTCATGGAGGTAGGCCTAGGCCCACTGGGGCTGTAGTGCCAAGGGGGGGGGGGAAAGAAATGCGTGTAAATATAGAACATTCATTTCAATTTTAATATTTCCAGTAGCTGTAATTAATAACTTTCTAAGATGGTTCTCATATATTTTTACTACTGCAAATACGGAGTAAAATAAATTAGTGTCATTTTGACAGTTGTTTACTGCTCTCATATGCGACATCTGTGTCTTCGGCTTCAATACATTCTACGCCATGTTGAGTTGCATCGCGTGCAGTCAGCTGGAGAAGCTAAGAGCGAACCTCCTGGATATCAGACAGGAATTCGGCACACCAGCGCAGGACTCGGGCGCTGAGACTGACACAGAGGAAGGGAGACAAGTCCAGACATCTCAGCAAGTGTTCTGCCGCATGCAGGAGCAGCTCAACGACTGCGTACGTCACCACCAAGATATACTGAGGTGAGTTAACCTGAGTGTACCATATCAGTGTTCGAGGCTTCGAGGCTGGAGCTCAATGCGTAGCTTCCGCTTCCGGGGCCAGGTTGCGTCGTCTGATGAGCGTGTAACGGAACATTGAAAAAGTCAGCGATATTACTATGTAATTTGTAGATATGTAGCATTCACTCATCTCTGACGCAATTTACGAGACGTGAGCATGCATCATGCACCTCGCGATTTATCCCGCTTAATTTACAGGTTTACTGAAGAATGCCCTCTTCTGGGTGGCGCCGTGTAGATCTTATGTGAACCGACGTTTCGGAGGAACATCGGTTAACACATGGTTTGCAGCTACCTGCTTAAACTGGTTCGTCCCTCGCGGATTTTTCTACTCTGAAGATGGAGCGATACATTCCTCCGAAACATCAGCTCACATAAGATCTACAAGGCGGCACTTCACAGAAGACGTCATTCTTCATAGTCACCCCCTTGAAAACTTCAAATCTTAGTTACAAGCGTACAGTTTTCGTCAGCTGGGGGAATAGAATCACGGTTTGTTTTTCGTGCAGAGGTACTTAGTTCACACGCTCATATGGACATTCCCCGCAGGTGTGAGCCCTTCAGACTTTCTCAATTAGTACCTAGAACTTCTGTCACTTCTTGCAACACATTCGTCGGACTCTTGTGTTTCAGCTTGAACCCTGGGCAGGATCACTTCATATTCTTCATAAACTGCATTTATTGCTTATTCAGATATGGAAGTCTGAAAATATTATTTCATACTAACCTCCCTTCCACTTATCTTCCAGTACACATAAGAACGGCACATACACTTCGCTATTCAAATCATTATATGTTAGTGTATTTTATTACTGTAACTCTGTCCATCCCTTGCGACGAACTGATCATCCACCCAAGGAGTCCTACCGAATGTGTAAGATCTAGAAAAACCGAAGTGAACGGAGAAGTTCATGGAGGTAGGCCTAGGCCCACTGGGGCTGTAGTGCCAAGGGAAAAACTCTGTCCGTTCCCGGTCACGGTAGCCGAGCGGTCTAAGGCATGTACTGTCTTCGCTCGCTCGAAAGCCGGGATCGTGGGTTCGAATCCCATTCAGGGCATGGATGTTTGTGTGCGTTTTTCTGTGTTTATGTACAGGTAGAGGCCTTGCGACGAGCTTATCACCCGCCCAAGGAGTCCTACCGTATGTATAAGATCTAGTAAAACCGAAGTAAAACGTAGAGTTTCATGGAGTTAGGCCTAGGCCCAAATGAGGGCTGTAGCGCTAATAAAAAAAAAACTCTGTCCATTATTCATCAGAATTTAATACAAACCATTTTCATTCCCATTGGTTGATTTGGAGGTGTTGAAATTTGAATTCCTATATGTTCCAACGATCTCAACCATAGATCCCATCGCCATCCTTCCTTAAACAACAGTCCACGTTCTTTATTATGAGCAATAAAAACTGAGCCAGAAAATAAAGGCATTCATTGTCTATTTAAAATATTGCCACGTGTATTAGTGACTAATAACGCGGGTTTCGATTGGCGAATAGGTTTACTGGATATTCACAAGTCGTAACTACAAATAATCATAACCCTCTAAGCATTACTGTAATTATAACACATAAATAATTTCTTCAACATCTGTTTACACTAGTCGTAGCTAGGTATCAGATCTGAACATTAGCCCTTCCTCTGCAATGTATTCCCTATCGGTTTCCAGGAAACGGATTTTAACACAGGAGCTATAAGTGTCACACCTCAGATATCACTACCCTATAGCACACACAAAGTCTTCAAATTATACGTTAAGTCTTCACAGGCCGATTTCTAATGCTTCTTCAACTACGAACTTCCCGATGCTACCTCCTACCGAGAACTAAACTCTCCACTCAAATCTTTCCCATGACGGTTTCGTGTCCTTGACTCATGGTACCTCAGCTGCAACTACTGGAAAACGACCCTTGTTGTCCTCCATAAAACTTCGGCACGGACCACGCACAGAAAACAACTTCTTCTATTATTGCAGATGTGTTTACACTTAGCTAGAAAATAGAAACTCATGAACCTAAAAGAACTTGTCTGTATTTGTGTATGTAAAAGATGTAACCAGCTCATATGCGAGCATATATCTGAATGCGAAAACATTCTTTTTTTAATATATCGATGACAATCTTGAGTGAAACTCCCTCTTACGATACGCATGCGCCGGAATTCATGCCACATTATAACGCCCACCGACACTTGGCCTAACAACACAGACAGTGCTCGATACAAGGACGACACGAGTGGGTCACAATGTACCCTGAGTTCTTAACAACACAAACACGTGCTGACCACCTACAGAAATGAAACAGGATACAGTTAACCAGGTACGGTAAATAGTACTTTCAATAACGACAATAAATCACTTAACAATTAATTACACAGAAATATAATTTTGATACAGAATTATTAATACTATGTTATATATGCAGATGCCATGGAGGTTATGGATGATTTAGCTTTTTTTTTTTTTTGCTGCCTTCTTAAGAGTATAGTAATTGGTTTTATTGTCAGTTATATAATAAGTATACATCTATAAACAAATTTTAAATAATTTACATAAAATTAACAGAAGGTGTTCTTATTATTGGATGCCTCTGAAAATGTTTATGCATGACCGAAAAATTTTGAATTTCTTAGTCACTTATTGTATAAAGTCTTACTATAGTAGCCGATGTCTTTGTCTTTCAAGGGTTCACGGGTACTAATAACTTGTATTAAATTGACTACCCTGCCGGATCGGAGTCCATTGTTAATTGTTGCTATGTAAATCAAGAAATTCCCCACATCTTACCTCATCCGAAGGGTCATTACCTGCTACACAGAATCCTCATGCTATTATGAAATAAAGTAACGCTGTCCAGACACTCCGACCTAACTTTTAAGAGAAAATTTTAATATTATTTTCCAAAGTACGCCTATGCAATCGAAATTATGTATTTTTTTTTTCACTGTTTGCGATCTAAATTTTGTGCGCATTGGTTCCCCGCCATGGGTGCCACATATCCGTCCCACCCCCATTCAACCCCCCATTCATCCTAATTTCGTATGGCGAGGAGAGCAAATTCATTATGCTCTGCTCTCCACTCTCGAGCGACTTCCATCCTCTTCTGTCACTTTGACAATCTGTTCTCAAATTTCACATCAATACAAAACAATAAAATTATATTAATTTCTTAAATGTAATCTTATGTTAATTTATTTGTGAAAATAATTGTGATTTGATGCTCTAGTTCCCAACTATTCAAAATTTGTCATCTTTTCGAAGGATTTCTTATTCAACTCTTTAATGAACCGTCACAACACAGCAAATAGTAAAACATCAAAGTCAGCGTTCAGCTGTGGCTTTGCTACATGTTTCGGCCACTATCGGCCATCATCAGGCAAATACATATCAACAAAAATCTACCATTTGACTACAATCATAAAATGGATATAAAACTATTAATCGTACAAATTTAAAAATGCTTATGTAAAAAATACAAACGTTCAGATTATATAAAAATTAAAAATTGGAAGTATTATAACAAGATAAAATATTAATGATGTTTTCAAAAACATTGAATCAGTCGTTGGATTTACTTTGTGTGCGTTTCCATAGACAATAGGGAAATTCGATATTACTTTATATAGAAGATTTTAAGAGAGGCCCATGGCGTAGCAATTAATTAATTGTGTAATGCTGCCTCGTCATTAAGAAGAATTGTCCGTATTGCATGGAAAACAAACAACGACTTATTATTATAATTTATGTCATGATTCTTTCCAGAATTTTCATGATGACATAAATAGTTAGGTTTATGTGACGTTTTATGTTTTAATGGCGGTGAATACAAAGACCACGCTTTTTTGGAATGCGACGCCTTGTAATTTGACAGACAAGTACCATTGCTTTGAAAGTACCTGCTGCTTCCTTCTACAGGGAGGTTTCTTTATGAGATTATGTCCGGAAATATTGCCCCCACTACATAGTGATAAGTGTCAGAGCAAGTCCTCTGCGAGATCGGAAATCAGGTACAATTAAATATTTTTATTCTGTGGGTTTTCGACACACTCGTTACAAAGAAAGTATTGTGTCGAATGGTGAAAAACTTTTGAAACCGTCAGTCAGAACGGCCGATGTCCTGGAAAACATTCGGACCTCCTGAGAACGCCAAAGAAGCATTCCCGGTTTTGAATATTGATTCCTGTTCATGAAGGCGTGAGTAGTGTGACTGTGTGTCTTCCCGTCTGAAATCCAAGTATATTTATAAGTGCTGCAATCTGCGGACATTGTATTCCTGACTTTCCATTTTTTTGTGTGTTTTTAATGTTTATTATTTTATCGTCAAAAATTTCGTGTATATTCATCCCCAGTTGTCCACTTGGAAGTATCTCCTTTTATCTGCTTTGTTATTCTTCGATTTTTGCATGGTCAGACGGAAAGTGACATACCAGCGACCTCCTATTGTTCTACATATGAGACCCTATCGCAAAGAAACTCCAATTTTTCAACTAATCTTGTAATTCCCCTGCGTATGAAATTTACTCCACTTTATGTTCTCATTCCATTTTACATAAAACAGGCTGTGCTGCTTCAGTTCCATCCTTGTCCCATTTGACCTCCCTCACATTTTCTAAGTTCCAAACATCATATCCAATTTTCGATGTTTGCGTCTATTCACCCTGCCAGATCCGGAACCCCTCACACCGATCTTATGCGGCAACAGGGTTTTGACATTAATTCAACCCCAAAACTGAAGGATCACGCCCTCCAAGCTCTTCTCGAGTACTTCTTCAGTACAACCGTAGTCTCTAACCCTGTTCTCAGAACACTTCCTCCATTTGTATACAGTAGTGGTGGTGAAAAGTTCATAGTTCACAACAAATTATTTTTAATAGTGAACGCGACTCTGCCAGTCACTTAATGTGAATGTTTCTACCACAGTTTTTATTTTAAATAGAATATAGTCTATTGGATAATATACCGACTAAATTGTCAAGTTAAATAAGATTGGTCGAGTTACAAGCTTCGTCTTGTATGTTGTAACTGCCTATAGTTCGGAGAGAGCCAGTCGATTCGGAGGGACATATCGAGTCCATATTCAGGGTGGAACAGTAAGCCAAGCCAGAAACCAGAAAAAATAGGTGAAATGGAACATATGTCCTGTTACAGGCCAGACCAAGCCTGAAAGGAATTATGGGAGAGCCAATGGAAGAGTAAACACTGTCTGCAGGTGAGTCAGGGAGGTTCATTGGATGAGTGACAGTTGTTTAGAGGCGGACTGAGGGAGGGACGTTAGAAGAGTGGCCATCGTCGGAAAGGGACTCAGAGAGAGTCACTGGAATAGTGACCACTATCTGTTGGGGAATTCATGAACATAGCTGTAATGACCGTTATCTATATGGGGACTAAACACCCACTGGGAAAGTTACTATTTTCTGTAAAGGGGATTCGAGGAGGGTAAATACAAATGTGAGCCTTCTCAGTAAGACAACTGAAATAGAGACATTGGAGGAGTGACATCTGAGAGTACGGGCACCCAGAAGAAACGGGAGTAAAGCTAATTCGAGCTCATCTGAGTCCTGAAATCGGCTGGCTGCATGCAGAGTGAGTGGAGAGAGGCAAATGTGTAACCAAGGAAGAGGCCGGCTGTGGATGGCAGTGAGGAATAGCTGAAAGACCTAGGAGGGCGGGGAACCATACTGTTGATTGTCCCTGTACTACAAGGTTTTACAAACCATTTCATAGTCACCGTCGTGAAAACTTCACATTCAAAAAATCCTTTTACTTGAAACTGTAAATTTATGCTTTCCTCTGCGAGATAATTTTGCTTTTATCCGGCTAAAGATTATGTTTTTCATATCCATCCTCATTAAAATAGATAGACTGAGATGGGCTGGACAGGTTATAAGGTTAGAAAATGAAGAACTTATAAAAAGAATAATGCTTATAAAACCGGAAAGGAAAATGAAAAAAGGTAGACCAAGAATGAGATGTATGGATTGTGTGGAGAAGGATCTGAGGGACTTGGATGTGGTTAATTTGAAGAAAAAAGCACAAGAGCGAGATGGCTGAAGGAAGTTTTTAAAGTAGGCCAAGACCCGAAAAGGGTTGTAGTGCCAATGATGATGATGATAATAATAATAATAATAATAATATTAAATCTTCTTTCAAAATTCCGGTTCATGTAATCTATTAGAAGTGCAGGAGAATCGACCATAAAGAATGGGACACACATAAACCTCTGTGTTTCAAACCCGTAATCCGTTTAGAATTTGGTAATATTTCACAGCATCATAAAATTATCATAAAATTTTCGATCTTATTTCTCTCATACTGAAGTTCTTATTATTCTCTTTTAAAGAAAGTTACCAAAAATAATTTGAAAGTGAGTCGTAAAATATTCTAATTTAATAGCTGCTGACCAAGTTGCATGAACCTCCCGAGCCCTTTGTAGGAACGTTATACCCTCCCTGGCATTTTCACCTTTTTTACTTTCAGTCTAACAACGTGAAAGATACCGTTTAGAATATAGACGCCTACATGGAAGGATAACACTAAAATACAGAGCGTTCACAATAAGAGGAAATCTCGAAACGCCGCAGGTACATTGGCTACTAACTCGGCTTTACCCATCGTATCTTCCGCAAAATGTAGTCTGTCAGTTCCGTCAGGGATAAGTCGGAAGTTGTGCTTACGTGTTCAATTAAAAAGTTTATTTCTCTCTATAATCAGTATGTATACGACTGATCAGAGAATGTTTGTTGTTGTATACTACATTAGAATCATTTTCTGAAAAGCTGATTGATGACGAAAGAGAGAATACCTACTTTCAAAAAGACATCCTTACAGTCCAAAATGCACGAAATTCAGCGAGTGCATTGCGAAAGGTGTTCGATGACAGGATCATTATTAGAGAACTGTGGTCTCCAAGATCGCTGAATCTTAGTGTCCGTGACGTTAATTTGTGGGGGAACTAGGAAGAAAATTGTACAGGAACACGCCTCGCACAGCTGAAGCAGCCCAGAGTGAAATTAGGAATAGGGCTGCTTAGATTTCGGCTGACAAACTTCGGTGTGTTTCGCAGGGATTCCCTCGAAGAGTGGAGGCGTGTTTAAGGCCCGCAGATAACCACTTCTGGTTCTGGCGAGTTTCTTTCTCATTTTACAGTGAGTGACAGGTACTTAAGAAAGACCTGCTCCATAAGACTTTTTCACAACTGTCTCTAAATAGGATTAAACATAGGGATCTATGAGTATGCTAGGACGTCAATATATTCTTCTTTTGTGCTAGATACGTTCGCATTCTGGAAGACACACTGAATCCAATCATGGCTGTCATCTTCTTCCTGACGTTGTGTTGCTTGTGTTTCTGCGCTTTCTCCGTTATTACGGTAAGCTATGACACGTTATCCTAGCATAATGAACATTAGATTAATTGTGACATGTCAGTGCATTGCCAGGCAACGGCTCGACAAACACACGGCAATACACACACGCAAGGACAGAACAACGTGGTTATGCAACCCGTTACTAGACAATAGCTCAGTAAACAAACTTCCGCATAGGCGGTGACGTCATACAACAGTGGACAACGAACACGTGACATGTTTTCTGTAGGTCAGGCCAAAATTTATAGGGGATAACTAAGGTCGTTTGCAGACAGTCGTAAGGTGGAGGAGTGAGTAGTAAGCGGCAGAACCAAGCTAGCAAGCCGTAAGCTTGAGGAGTCCAGGAGGGTCTTAGTTTGCGTTCTGAGGTTCCAGGGAAATTGAACAACGAAGGGCAAGAAGACTTCATGGAGATCTGAAGTGCTATTTTCTATGTTGAGATCCGTTGCCAGGAGACGAATAGTGGAAACTTAGAACCCTAGTGCGTGTGCAACGGTGAACTATAAATTTGGTAAATCATCGACAATGTTGTATTAATTGTAATTAGGAGAAATTGTAACCGACGTGTTAATAAATCCAATCACCGCATCTAGAACCCGTTATTTTCGTCATGCGTACCCCCCAACATGTGATACTACTTATAATTTTGTTAGGTGTGGGGTTCCCATAATTTTCGCTACGAAGAGCACTGTATTCTGTGTTGTAATGCCCGATATCTCCGAGTGACACGTTGCCTCTGTCGTCAGCGCCGAAAACCAACCCAGCAAGATGTAGCAGCATAGAAGAATGAAATTTTCTTCAGAACATGTAGGAGGAAGAGACCGCTTGAAAGACTTAAGAATTATTTAGAAAATGGCTTCATGTGTTCCGGTATAATCCATCAAAATTTCAGAAAAAATTCAACGGCCTTCGACCCGGATATGGAGACCAAATATTCTTCGGAATATTCGAAATTTCTACCAATTACAAGCTCAAAGTCACAGTCCAATTATAAAGTAAGCATAATCAAAAAATATGAAATGAAACATAAAAATTAAACCGGAAGGTCACATTTTTCAGTTTGTAATTTTTCACACATCCCGATAAGATTTTTCATTATGTATAAATATATAAATCATCTTAAGAACTGCATTAGTTTAACAATTTTAAGGGCATTTCTAAACATTTAGATTATCTGTCAAGGAAATTCTTATTATTACCGGCAATATCCTTCTATGCAGAGTTCTCGCACATGTTCCGAAATTTTTAGTAACCTGGTGTTGGTTCGTGGAGAATTTGTAGCCTCAGATGTAGGAGAACAATGACCTGCCAGGCAGGCAGGACCGGCTTCAAATGGGGAGATTTATAGCGGTAGACACGCTCTGGATGAACGCTACAATCACGTGTAGAGAGAGGAAGGATTGTTATGAATTCTGAACTCAAAACACCCGCGACAACTTGGATAGATTCTAATTTGGGAACCTTGGTATGTGCTTAATAAATTACAGAGAGGGTCAACTTTGCTTCTACATCTATCGCAACTTTACCTTCTGCTTTGATAAGATTCCTTTTAATAATGAATTAAATACAGTGTCAACCACTTAATCTATTCACCTGATAATTTCGGCCGAGAACTTTTTTTTTGTTTGCATTTCCGCCGTGAATGCTGCATGACGCATCAATCTCCTTTTCCCTCATTGCAATGATATATGTAGAGTACATACATACATGTATCTCCTCCTTATTTAATCTACATATCCTGTGTATTCCTCTTTCTTAGATTGAAATATCCTATTCAAGATCCTGTCCTTAGCCAGCATGAGTGAATATTCTTCCCGTAGAATGTGAACTTCCTTACTTACTTATGGATCTCAGCCCTTCTTGAGGAGAAGCAAAATCTGCAGCTACTCAAGAACTCCCCAACGTTTTATGGAACTCGAAGGTTCATTTCCGTGTTCACAGGAGCCCTCTACTGGTCCCTATCCTGAGCCAGCTCAATCCAATCCATACCATCTCTCCAAGATCCATTTTAATATTGTCCACACACACTTACGCCTTGGTCTTCCCAGCGGCCTCTTTCCTTCTGGCTTTCCCACCATTATCCTATATGCATCCCACTGTTCCCCCATTCGTGCTACATGACCTGCCCACGTCATCCTCCTTGACTTGGTCATTCTAATTGTACTTGGAGAAGAGTACAAGTTATGTGTGTAATGTGAATGCTAAGCTAAAGTAAGCAACACATAAAATTATCAGTTTTGTACATTTCCATCTTCGTGGTTTTAGATATGTGTCAGGAAGGTACGAACTCCAAATTCGTGACAGGTGGCATTCATGGCATTTAATTTGCTGTTACGTCCTTGGAGATCCAGTTTTTATCGGTTACAACCGTTCTTAAACACCTTAATCTTTATTTGTGCTAACATTTACAATTTTGTGCTATTCGCCAGGGCATTTAAGTTTTCACCAAGTGAATTAACATCATCATCAGCAGCAGTAGCTTATATTCTCTGCTTCTTCTCGCAGAGTTCCGGGAATTTTCTGCAAATGACACAAGGTGTACTTTTGTACTTCGGCATTCTAAAAGATCTAGCTATCTACACTTTCTTCGCTAATGAAGTGACAAATCAGGTAATTCATATGTTCTTTATTCCTATTTTCGTGGTAAAATATAAGTTATGGTCTTGAGAAATGTCCGAGATCTTCTATGGCACTGTACAAGGCTGTCTTCTTTATAAACTGCAAAAAAAAAAGTGGCCGATTCCAACTAATAGAAGAAAGAACTGGTATGAACCAATGAAAAGTTAAATTACATAATAGAAATTGCAGCATGTGTAAGTAACTTGAAGTCATATTTCTTTATTATTATTGAATAATTGTGCGGGGGCATTAGGTAGCATAGTTAGTTGAGGCGCTCTTCTACAGTACGGAAGGTTAGATTTCCGACGAGGCCACTGGATTTTTTAATTAACCTAATTCTTCCAGCCGCACTATGGCCCTGTGGTTGACTCAGCCTCTAACAGAAATGAGTACCAGGAATCTTCCTGGGGGTAAGGAGAGGCAGCTGACAAACTCACCGCCATCTGTGAGCCAGTTGTTTAGAAAAATAAGGGAGCCTCGACGCCTCAAAACCTTGTGGGAGTCGTTGTATGAAGAGACAACCACTAGTTGAACTGCACAATCTAGAACTGTAACTCTAACTCAGTAACTCTAACTATGGGCCTCCATAGCCTCTTGCAGGGATAGTTTTACTCTTTACCTTTACCAACAATTCGGTCCGAGGTAAACTGCACTCGTGGCGGTGCTCTCCTGGAAAAGAGGTCCCAACAATTCGGTCCGAGGTAAACTGCACTCGTGGCGGTGCTCTACTCGAAAAGAGGTCCCAACAATTCGGTCCGAGGTGATGAACACACTGGCCTTGACGAAACTGCTCCATTACGGTTTGTGGGTCCTAACTGCCCCAAATTCTTCAAATAGTGCTGTTCACAACACCTCGTGCGCAAAAAGTGGTCTCGTAGAAGGCAACACAACTGAATGACTCCCGCTTCCATAGTGTCCCGAGTTGTCAGTCTGTGGTACTTTCCAGCCTTCCAGAATTCCTGTCACGAAAACTTGGACAGATTTTCGCTATATTTAAAAATCACAAACTCTGTGATTATGCAGGTTAACTATTAACTAAATTTTCAGTTATTTTCCGGACGCCCTGTATTTTGCCTAAGACTCTTTCAGTTCTTCTGACAAATTCCAAGCTTCACAAAGAAAAATCGTGCACAGATGAGGATGGTTGAAAGTTTTAATTTCAGTGACGTAAATAGGAGATGGATGATCATATAGAACTAAGGAAGCTGTGGAGCTCTGCTTTACACTTGCCTCGCACCAAAAAATATCCGGATTTGTTGTTTCGTAGGGAAAACTAGAAATGAAGTCCCGAATTATGGAAGGAGATTTTCGAAAATGTTACTTTTGAGACGAAGAAAGTTAATGGAGAATAATAGGAGTATGAATGTTAGGGATAAATCTGTTAGTTATTGCTGTAAACATATACGAAAGTATAGAACATAGTACGTGAACCAAATTTAGAATTTATTTCAAAGAGAGAGACAACATAAGGACAGAAATGACAACCTTTAAACTACACTAGAATAAGAAATAATAGAAGGTTTAATCTAAGCTTGATAACCCACTGACGAGACTAATCACAAGCTTCTAGCCGCGTCAGTGGGTTATGCACCATATACACTAAGGCTGAAAACTCACTGCCGCGACAAGCCGCGCGCTGTTAGGTTTTGGAACGCGGCACACAGGTGGCAGAGCTCTCGCACGCCTAATATGTACAACTAACGGGCGCGCGCGACAAAGAGCGGCTAGCCGCTCGCGACTAGTAGCGTCAGTGGGTTATCAGACTTTACCTGGCAGTCGCAAGAGAAGACGATATAAAGAACGAGATTAGGGACACAGGTTCAGAGAGCGAAGGTTACTGAACCTAATGAAGATAAGGACAACTTCGACTATGCTAATAACTTCAACATTTCGCTGCTGATCCTTTGCCTGTTGCTCTGACTGAAGTTCTAATGCTTCAGGCGGAGAAAGTGCGAGATGGCGCCTGGGGATGCGACTGGGTCGGAACTCCCATTGCCTTCCAGAAGTGCATCACAACAATAATATCAGCCACCAACAATGAGGTCACTCTCACAGCCGGAAAGTTCGTGCCAGTCAGAGTCCGAACCATGGTCAATGTACGTCTGTAGCTCTGTGTCTATTTAGAGTATGATCTTCTTGATTGTGACACCGTGCAGGTTTGGAGTAGGTTACAACAACCCAGAATACTGAACTGTGTCATTACTCAGAAGATCACAAACTAAATCTTCACCATCTTGACAAATTAAAATCTCCTGTGTTGTGCGAGTATACGGTGAAGTTTAAATTTTTGTATCTTAATAGGCCTGGAGATTTAGTCAAAACAACGTATTTCGCTACATGTTTCTGCTCATGGAAACTAAGTATTAATATTTATGTGATTTAGCCAGAGAATTGTTTTGTTTTTCTACGCTCTTGAGTCAGTTTGTTAAAATGTGTTGTGTTGAAGTTAAAAAGTGTTTTGTATCTAAATTCACTATATTTTAACCAATTTACAAAAACGCAAATAAAGACAAATAGGTTCGCCTCGAAGCCAATATTTAACAAAAGTCAATATTTAATAACACATAAATTCAAATTTAAACATTGACTAGGGTATAGTAGCAGCAGTTACGTGAACATTGAACGCAGAGCTTTCCTCATGTTCACCAATAATGCCTATGTTATATTTATATTTAATGTAGGGTTATATATATATAATCACGAGAAAGAGTGACTATTGGCGAGGTTTTAGATCGGAGATTGGATTTTTGACTACTTACAGGTCATAACTACAAGCAACTGTAACATTATCGCTAATTTACGCACTTTACAAATCACTACAGTACATGCAAAGTTGTTATGTCTGCCAAGTCGTTCCATAGTAACGGTTTTAAATGAGGCCGCGCCGCTCAAGCGGTTAGTCGCCGGCTTCCTATCGCGGTGGCCCAGGTTCGATTCTGGGTCTGGTCAAGTGGGATTTGTGGTGGACAAATTGGCACTGCGGCAGGTTTTCTCCGATTATTTCGGTTTCCCCTGCCAATCTTCATTCCACCAATTCCTCCACAATCACCCTCACCTATCATCTGGGGCTGATACAATAGGCCAGAAGTGGCCGCGGTAAAGGGACTTAGTCCCACCCCACTAGCAATAAGAAAACAAACGGTTTTAAACAGTAGATATTCTTCAACATCTTTGCTAACTTCACAGACAATTTATTTTCTTCACATTCTCCCTTAACAGTTTTGTTTCAACTCACCAACTTTTAAACCTATGTCGGTCATAATATCTCGGCATGGACCGCGTAGAAAACATTGTTCATTTTTGTACTCCAACTTTTCCATGGGAACATGTTTGTTTTCGAAGGCGTTACTCAGTAACGGCTGCGTATATTTACTGGTTAAGAATCTATTGCCCAGTGAAGGGTATACACGCTACAATACATAATCTTGACCGTGAACTTCGCTGTGCTGATGAACTTCAACATCTACTGTATTTATGCTCGGGGAAAACCATGAAAGATGGGAAGGTGTACATTGGACGAAGAAGTCGTTTCATCGAGCCCGAGGCTATGAGACTCAAAGTCTCATCTGACTTATCAAATAGAGAGGGGAGGATGGCAGCGGCACAAAGACCCCTGATCCTGATTATCGTAATCTGCCGAATAAGTCCAGTATCCTGGCCAACAATTCCTGGCTCAGGGACCGGCCCTTAAGGGAAGCGATACAGATGAAGCTCCGCTCTAACGACTTCAACATGAAGGATGATTTCTCCGTGGAAAGACCGCGGAAGCCTTTTATTCGTCCCTGAAGGAAACGACGAAGTTACTTCCAACTCTAGAAAAGTTCTTTCCATCTGAGACGACATTCCTGTAACCAGGCACTCGAAAAAGCAGCTGATTTTACGGGTTTTCTCCCTGTTCGCAAAGCCCTGAAGAGCGCAGTGTTTTTTCAGTTATTATTATTTGACTGCCAGTCGTTCGACGAGAAATATACTTATTTTAGAATTTAAGAGACTCGTCATTTCTCACATTTTTATTTCCCTCCCGTGCCAATATCATTGCTTGGGAAAAACCCTGACCAATTTTCTTTTCCTCTATCCCTCGTGTGAGTCTGAGTTGCCATTTTCTCGAAACCTGCCTGATCTAATCAGCCGACTACCCTCCCCCCTTACACACTTGACTGACTCGAATATGGCGACAAGGGCTTCGGAAGTATCTATCCACTGTCGTATGACGTAATGACACGTGACACAAATGGACTCCATCATGGGCTGGAGGCTGAAAGGCAGTGGCAGTCTGCACGGTGCTCGTCACGATTCTGCAATAAAATTTGTTTTAAAAACCGAGAACAAAGACATTTCTTCTGCAATGTCCTCAGTCTTGAGAGAAAGAGGACAGGCACTCTACATTGCAGCATAATTAGTAAGCAAGAGTGACTAGCACGTGGTCGTTAGGCAAGAAGTCGCAAGCACACTGGTCTCTCAGGGAGAGGCTCCGAAGAATGTTCGCCAAAATTCCCGTATGAAGGAAGAACATCAAAGGATGTATCATCGGTCAAAGTGAATTCGGCCATAGAACGAGCTCATTAAATTACAGATTTCGACTTTTCATTCCTTCCTATCAGAACAGGCAAAGACTCTTCCATGCCCATTCAACAGTAGTAGCCGGTCTTAATCTTCAATCGGTTCCACTGATGTCACATGTGCTGCACGATTTACGCGGTTCTGTTAAATGAAGAAAACACGTAGCAGGATTCACTTGCGTAAAACATATGAGAGTATGTCAAGGATCATCAATAAACACTAATACCAGACGCGAATGACATATTCATAGAACGCTGGGTTGTAATGGATTTGATCAACGCGTTGTCAGGCCGCAGCTCTGTAAACACGGTACATTACGCAACAATACAACCTGTATGTCGTTGGACGCATGTTTATAGCTCGTTGCTAGGCAATAAGCAGCGTGCCGGTAACAATCACGTGACTCGTTTTCTCTGTGGACTTCCTAATGGAACAATAGAATTGTGATTTCTGTGTGGTCCGTGCCGCTGCTATATAACGAGAGCTGTGAGCCCCAAGTTCACAGCGAATTGCAACTAGTGAGTGACAGAGTTCTGAGTTCTCGGTAGGAGACAGACAAGGAAAATTAGTCAACTTGTGAAAATTTAAAATACGATTACAAGACTTTATTCATGTGTAATATTTGGAGTGATTTGAAGCGCTAGTTCCTGTGTTTTAATTGCGTTACCAGAAGAGGATCAGCGTGTGTAAATCAGGGATAGCGCTGTGTTCAAATGTGATTAAGAGAATTTGTAACCAACGTTCTAATAAATCCAATCGTCCGAACTAGAACCCGTCATTTTCGTCCCGCGTATCACCAAACAGAAAAAGATTACCGTATTTACGCATGTATAGGCCGCACATTTTTGCCAAAAATTCAAGAGGAAAACTGGGGTGCGGCTTATATTCGAAATATTCGAAATCACACTTCATTTAAAAAAAAATATTATATTCATAATTAGTAATACAGGATCTTCTACTCCTGAAATAATATTCCAAGAAAATTATTTTTTCTATAATTTCTGTCTGAAAATTGTGCTGCGGCCTATACACGCACGCGGCCTATACATGCGTAAATACCGTACTTTTAACTACTAGAGACCATTGATACTTACCATAAACCTAGGACACCGAACAGAGAAGAAGCCTTAATTTTTTTATTTTCAGATGGTAAACCAGAGCGTGTCCTTCTTCATGTTCCTGCTGGAAGTTAACGACAAAGTCGAGCGTAGTGAAGACAATTAGTGCACAATGACAGAAATGGCACTCGGCACATAACAAGCACCAGCAACAAGCAAAATCACTCTACTCCATTTCGAGTAGCTTAATATCAGACCACTAATTTGCATATTAATTAGCAAAGCTTAAAATGTCTTGTGCAAGCAAATAAATGCGCAGCTATCTCATTAGAAAGTGTTCGCTCAATAACAAGAACCTACAACATCTGTTCACTTTTCCATACGACTGAATTTGTTGCTCTTGACTTTTATGAAACAAGACTCCAACGATGAGGAAGATAAAGTTATTATGTTTAAGAACTTGTGAAAATCTTGACTAGTCGAGCGTCTGTCCATCCACACAGTTTGCCATCAACCCACTTACCCAGAAACCTGTTCTGTTGCTGTAAGATAATACCATTTCGTTCCGCCATTCAACTACGAAGGACCTGAAACAAGTCTTCTGACCCACACGATGAAGGAACTTTTTGGGTCGCTTCAAATCCCCGGCTGCCAATAATTAACATATTCAATCTCCTTGGGTGAATAATTAATTTTAATTCAATGTAATCCATGCATCTTAGTTTACGTAAATTGTGTACTGATGCAACATACAACGCTATTAAACAGCGAAGTCTGAAATTCTATGTTTGGATAGAGGCTATGATATTGTGGAGAAGAACTAGATCACTCGTATATAAAAGAATTGCGATAAATTCTTAACCGTTCCAATTATGTGTCTTAAATATGAATGATAATTTAAAGTGGCCAGCAAGTCGATGTAACTGGAAGTAATGTTCATACGTTTCTCCGCGGAGAAAAGCCATGATATTTCGAAATTTTATTATGGAAATTGAGAGAAAATTCGGAGATCGCATATTTCTTAAACAGTCATATTCTGTTTCTTGCCAGAAATTTATTAAGTAAAATCTCGATAAATACGATAACAAAATAACCTCTACATGTAATGTGGGACAATTTTTGTGTACAATTCTTGGCATCTTTAACAATAGATTTGTATAGATTTCAAGTATTTCACTGAAAATCCTTTAACAATCATAGTCCAATATTTTTAATTCTGAACCCCCTGCATTCTTCAGATATACAAGTAAAATGAAACTGAAGGGTGCAGACAAACTTTGGGTACGATGTCCACATAACAGAACAGAAAAAGAAAGTCAATTTTAACTCGTGTCCGGAAACGTTAACTAACATACGTATGATACATGATACATGATACATGATACAAACTCCGTGTTCAGTGCAAACTATATATTATAGGTCTTTCGTTTTGCTCTCCCCCACACACTACATGTTTCGGCCACAAACGGCCATCATCAGGTCTATTACTCACGTATCTGTCACGAGTAACTTAGTTTAACACTTAAAGTTTAAAAGCACAGGTCTTCCTAATTGTTCCTTTCGTCGCTATTACCAAAATCTACTTCGTTGATATCTTTGTTATTTACACACGTCAATTTTGATTTCTCTGAATTAGCATTTATAAAATCTTCAGTTCTAATTTTAAAATCTTTTCAATTTTCCTCTAAATTTTAAAATTTAAAAATGTCAGGGTTACTCGGCCTATGTCTATAGTGCTGCAGCGGCTACTTCTTGTTTCTAGTACTGTGCCGATGTTATTCTGTGTAGTCTCTCTGTGTGCGTGCCGCTGCTTATCTTTACTACATAGAGAGACTACACAGGATAACACCGGTACAGTACAAGAAACAAGAGGTAGCCGATGCAGCACTATAGACATAGGGCGAGTAACCCTGACATTTTTAAATTTTAAAATTTAGAGGAAAATTTAAAAGATTTTAAAATTAGTACTGAAGATTTTATAAGTGCTAATTCAGAGAAATCAAAATTGACGTGTGTAAATAACAAAGACATCAGCGAAGTAGGTTTTGGTAATAGTGACGAAAGGAACAATTAGGAAGACATGTGCTTTTAAATTTTAAATGTTAAACTAAGTGCAGTGTGACAGATACGTGAGTAATACACCTGATGATGGTCGTTTGTGGCCGAAACATGTAGTGTGTAAAGGAGAGCAAAACGAAAGACCTATAATATATGGTTGCACTGAAGACGGGGCTTGTATCATATATCGTATGGAGTGCAACAGGATGTTTAAATATAATATTGTAATATACGTATATATGAAAGAGTATATTTATAATAAGTGCTCAAAATACCCTTCACGAGATTCAGTAGCATGGACCACGGCATCCGATTAAAGATGTCGCGGCTAGTTGCCGATAGTCTGACCGACATCCACAGTACGATGTGCCCCTTCGTCGTCAACATGAGCTGCATACACAAGGGTGTTTAGTTGTCCCATAGGCAAAAATTCAGAGGATTCAAACTGGCGTGGAGCGTGGAGGTCATGCAGTGGGTCCTTCTGTACCTGTCCATCGGTCATGACACGTGTTACTGAGAACATCTCGCACAGCGCGGCTACAATGTGCCGGAGCACCATCACGTATGTACCGCATTCGTGCTCTGCTGCCAGTGGGACAGCTTCCAGCAGCTCTGGCAGACCGTGTGAGAGGAAATCTGCGTAGCGGTTGCCTGTAAGCCGATGTGGCAAAACGTGAGGGCCTACCAAACAGTAGCAAGTAACCCCTGCCCACGCGTTAATGCTGAACTGTTGCTGGTGTCCAGTCAAGAGACTGTCAGCCAGAATTCTCAAATATAATATTTCCGGATACATGTTGGTATGGATATTTTTCTTGTTTTGGTATGCTGAACCCTTGCCAAACGTTTTCCCACGCCTTGTATGAATTAATTCGGATTCAGTACTTTATGTGTAAAAAGTAAAAAGTAAAGCTATCCTTGTACAAGGCAGTGAAGGCTCATAGGGTTATGAGACGTTGAGGGTCCCTCACTATCTAGACAATTGGCTCAAAGATGGCGGTAAGGTTGTCAGCCTTACGCACCGGCAGGGCTTTACTCCCCAGGAAGATTCCTGGTACACATTTCTGTTAGAGGCTGAGTCGACCTCAGGGCCATAGTGCAGCTGGAAGGATTAGGTCAACTGAAAAAATCCAATGACCTCATCGGGACTTGAACCCGTGACCTTCCAGCTTGTAGCATAGCCCCTCATGCATTTATGTGTGCAGTATTTGTTTTGACATGTTGACTGGAGACACTGTTTCTTCGCCTTGTAATCTTGGCGGTCAAGCTGGAATCGTTAGTAGAAGAAAGTCAGAGGACGCGAATGATTCAGGGGACGCACGTACAGAGCCTTCGTACTCAGTTTCACATGAATGTTCAATAGTTCCAAGTCTGGATTAGTGTTCCGGTAATGAGACTCTACTTGCAGTATGCGAACATCCTGAGTTCATGTCTTTCCATTGCTTATTTCGGTTCGTAACTTAAATTATTTTAAAAAAGAAACCATGTTGATTAACATGTTTTCTCCAGCAGCTTCAAATTAAAACGTTAGATTGGAGAAATATTGGAGAAGTTTTCCGTGTCATCAGTAAAGGTAAAGGTATCCTTGCAACAGGTGGTGGAGGCCCATAGAATTGTGAGACGTTGAGGTTCCCCCACGCGGTAGCGTAGTTGGTTGAGGCACTATGCTATAAGCCGGAAGGTCGCGAGGTCGAATCCCAATTAGGTTAATTTTTTCAATCTAACTAATCCTTCCAGCCGAACTATGGCCCTGGGGTCGACTCAATCTCTGACAGAAATAAGTACCATGAATATTCTTGGGGGTAAAAGGTGGCTGGCGCGTAAGGCTGACAACCTTACCGCCACTTATGAGCCGATTTTCTAGAAAATGTGGGAACCCGTGTCATCAGAGATATTCTTATTGTTGCAGCACTGAAATGTCGGCAACTGAAGCTGCAGCGTATTATATTTTAACAGGTGAATGAACTAATTTTTAATTTGCGTTTCAATAATTATTTATTAAGATTACAAGGACGTACTTACTGTCTAAGTGCGTACTGTAACTTGTGGAACCTATCCTAGCCATATTTCGCACAGGCATGCCTCAAGTTCTCTGCTAATTAATAGCTACACAGCAGCAATCGAAAGCGAAACATCAGAATGGCGTGATCCGGTTTCATCCTACATCGAACAGAGTGTAGTTTACAGAAGATGTTACTTTGGATATTCTTTAATTAAGGAATGGAATAGTTTCCAAAATTATCACGAATAATACGAAGAAACATTTGTAACCAGTCGCTTTTCAGTTTGTGTCAAGCGATGACTGAGAAGCCGAAGCTGGTTCTCGGGACTCTTAGTTGTCCTGTGCGCCTAGTGATTGCAGCACCATATCGATCTTTATTGACGCAAGAGTTTAGCTCGCAGATTTGTCACAAGAATGCTCACGGACGAGGATCACCCTTTCCGCACCGCACTGGAGGTGAGTAGAGACTGGAAGGAAAACCCAGTTGATAGAGTTGGCACGGGACCCCTCATTGAGGCATTTAGGGATATTGTCCCTAAGGAACACTTAACAGGAAAAGCCTCGCTACCATTTTGTTGTAAGACTACACTTAACTCTAGTCATAAGCAGACCGAGTGTCGGGATCGATAGAGGAATGAAGCCAGCTGCATCATTAGATCCGACCTTCAGGACCCTTCGCTAGGAGGAGCTGAAGCAAACCAGGAGCCTCTTCACAGATGGCTCCAAAGCAGCAGGAGGGCCTTCGGTGGTTTTTCATTCTTCGACTACGATAAGGACAAAGACTGGACCTTCGAGGCCACGGCTATCTCCAAGTCTGTCACCTGTATCAACGAAATATAAGGCCGTAACTTTAGGATATTCTTGGACTCCATAAGCGCGAAGATTGCAATGTCATGGTCAAAATACGTTGTACTTTAGAGAAGGATACCCACTCATTTGCCGCATTAAGGAACTGCTTGAGGAGACAAAAGCAGCAGAGAAAGAAGTTAGGATACATTGGATCCCAGCCTATATAGGAATTACCGGGAACGAGCTAGCCAAGCATAGAATCAGGGACGGGAGGGATAGCCATGTCACTATTCCAGCCGAAGACATGGAAAGAATCCAAAAAGGAATCCCAGCTGTGGCACCAGGTTGGTGGGACGTTTCGGGGAAATCAAAACTTTACGTTGTTACTGCACAGCGGTTATTTCAATCTGCCGCCTCTGATGTGGCCACAAAGCCCTGGCGCATAGTCGAGCACGTTTTAATAACGTA